TGTTCTCTATGGCCACAAGCTGGCAAGTCATACATAGAGTGTGTGGAGGAGTTACTCTGAAAAATATTCTATGTTGCTATCAATCGCTGTGGAGGAGATGGATAGGTAAGACTTTACGTATAAAAACTGTTCTACAAAAACATCAGCCACCCCACCTGGCCAATACTTCGATCTCGCCCTGCCTGGGAAAACTGCACCACTACCCTCTTGGCAAGATTTCTCGTACTTACTCAATCAGTTACACATGGTAAGAAAAACCAATCTCCCAATTCACCCTCGGGAGTAACCAATGTACTGAAGTAGTAAATTAAGCTGATTTTCCAAACAAGGTGAACCTGTCATGACTGTTCCTTCAAGTTATTTAAGTCTCTGTGGGTCTTTCCCCACATTTTATGTTCTAGCCATTCTTTCCATTTATGCTTATAATGCATTCAAACAATACAAATCAGTTAAAGGAGAACTCTGCAAGTGTTTGAAATTTAGATTTTTTTCCAGTTGAATTTTAACTAGAACGTCACCTGAAGTAACACGTTAAGCACACAGAATAACAGTCAGCAGGACTCCAGCTGCCAAGCCAGGCATACAGAGGAGCACACGTTCTACCCCCGGCCCTGAAAAGGGAGCATTTTATTACAATTACAACTGTGCAGCAGAAGAGAGGCAAACCAATGGGTTCTGCAGTAGCGGCACTGAGCTTCAACAGTCTGTTGATCGTATTTATGGGGAGGAAGCAGTTACTAGCATTACTTACAGTACGTTTAATACTAAAGCGTTTACTTGTTAAACTCTTGGGAGATAAAAGTCCACCTCCTGAAGAGCTGACACAGGGAAGACAGTGATGTGGTTGATAACCCAATACAGTTTAGTACTGTGATTATACACGTGATACCAAACAACATCAAAATAATAAAACAGCAGCATTGGATGCTTTATCTGCAAAGTTAGGCTCATGCTCCTGCCTTGTCCTCTCTCCCTCCAGCTCCCAGTTTCTGTCTGCAGAGGTTGGGCAGGGCTAGCCCTAAAATTCAGATTTTTCAGGGCTAACCTGCTGGCTGGGCGCAGGGAGCTAGTGGGGAGCTCCTTCCCCCTCCCTCACCTGCCAGTGCCCCTTTTCCTCTGCAGCAGAGCCCTGCAGTGAACCAGAGCTGATCGAGGCATGGGTTGAAATTAAACCCAAGTGAGATGAAGATCATGCTGACTGTTTAAAGAAAGTGCTGCAGACTTGGAGCAGTAACTGAAAATGGGTGCCCACAACTGATTTAAATAGAAAACAGTACAGGACAGAACAGTGTTTAGGAATTCCTCTTGGTGCGACACGGATGCCATAGCTGCTTCTTGGATAAACAGGCTGGCTAACTCTGCTCA